CAGACTTCAGCCGTCTGCTTAACTTGCGTATCCTGGGTCTGATGGATGTCACTCTCACTCAGCCCAGTATTCCCGATCAGAGTGAGGACAGACGTGTCCGTACATCTGGATCACTCGCTGGCCACCTGCCTTATGGTATGGCCGATACCCTTGGTAAGCATGAGCACTTGTCAACGGTTGACCTCGTGGTACCAAGGTTCAACTCGTCAGAAACAGAGATGCTCTTGGGCTTGTTTGACGGACAAGCTTTGTCCAGCGGTGGATCCAAGATCGCTAAATATCTGCATGAAAACTTTGGTCACATTTTCGCTGGTGAACTGAAGCAGTTGAAAACACGATCGAACGAAACACCGGTTGATGCACTGCGACGCTCGTTCCTCCAGCTCAACAAGGATTTGGTCACCATTGCTATCCAGCAATCTGAGGAGCGGCCATTGAAGACGCATAGGGGCTCTGGTCAGCCTGTGATACTTACTAAGGAGGATCTTAACTCAGGAGGTGTGGCAACTGTGGTTTATCTTCAAAGTACGGAACTATATGTTGCAAACGTCGGTGACGCACAAGCGATGGTGATCCAAACCGATGGTACACATAAGATGCTGACCCGAAAGCATGATCCTGCCGAGCCCAATGAAAGATCGCGCATTCGTGAAGCTGGTGGATGGGTTTCTCGCAACGGAAGACTGAACGATCTACTGCAGGTTTCACGCGCCTTTGGATACGTCGACTTGATGCCGGCCGTACAAGCGGCACCCTATGTCAGCAATATGACCATTCGAGAGCAGGATGACATTATCCTGATCGCGACCGGTGAACTCTGGGAGTACCTGTCGCCTGGTCTAGTGACAGATATTGCGAGAGCCGAGAGACAAGATCTCATGCGAGCGGCCCAGAAGCTTCGTGACCTGGCTATCGCATACGGCGCCTCGGGCAAAATTATGGTCATGATGATAAGTGTTGCTGACCTCAAGCGACGGGTCGAGCGATCCAGGCTTCATCGCGGTGCTAGTATGTCGCTTTATCCGTCTGGTATCCCTGATGACGCCCAGGTTCTCAATACCAGGAGGGGCCGAAGGACGAAGGGCGATGTTCTCGATTCATCCCTCAACCGACTTGAGGCAGAGATTCCAGCACCTACGGGTAACGTGTCGATTGTCTTCACTGATATCAAGAACTCAACGACGCTCTGGGAGATGTACCCCAGTGCCATGAGATCAGCCATCAAACTCCACAACGAGGTCATGCGCCGACAGCTGAGACGAATCGGTGGCTACGAGGTCAAGACTGAAGGTGACGCTTTCATGGTCTCCTTCCCAACGGCCACGTCCGCACTATTGTGGACGTTTGCCGTTCAGATGCAGCTCCTCGATGTGAACTGGCCATCAGAAGTCTTGAACTCGGTGTCTTGCCAGCCTGTGTATGACAAGGATAACAGTCTCATTTTCAAAGGACTGTCGGTGCGAATGGGTATACACTTTGGAGACTGTGTGAGTGAGACGGATCCAGTTACACGACGTATGGATTATTTCGGACCCATGGTGAATAAGGCGGCTCGAATCTCTGCGGTCGCAGATGGTGGACAGATCACAGTCTCGACAGACTTCATCTCGGAGATACAGCGGTGCCTGGAGAACTATCAAGATACAGATCGTGGTAACGCTTCTGGCTCTGAGGATACCTTTGACGACGAGACGTATGCTAGTGCCATTCGAAAGGATTTGAGATCCCTCACCTCTCAAGGCTTTGAGGTTAAAGAAATGGGCGAGAAGAAGTTGAAGGGTCTAGAAAACCCCGAGGTTGTGTACTCGCTCTACCCTCATGCATTGGCTGGACGTATCGAATTCCACCTGCAGCATGAAAGGAAGGAAGAAGGAGGAGGAGGAGGCGATAAGCCAGCCGTCCTTGCACCCGGGGCAGAGCTCAGCATTGACCCAGATGCAATTTGGACTCTTTGGAGAATAAGTTTGCGACTTGAGATGCTTTGCAGCTCGCTGGAAGGCAATGAGGCTCCAGGTCTGCAACCACCCGAGACAGAATTGCTCGAGAGGATGAAGCAGCGCGGAGGAGAGGTCACGGATCGCTTCTTGTTGAACTTCTTGGAGCACCAAGTGAGCAGGATAGAGGTGAGTTTGAGCTGGCCGATACACGAGTGGAACCTTACTGACAACGTTAGACCTGTATATCGACTTTAGCGATGCGTCACCTTGCTACTGGTGGTGGCCCTATTAAGGAACTAGAAGATCTCCAGGGCCCAATGACTGCGATCTTGGATATGTTCATGGCGCAGAGGAAGGAACTTGAGCGATACAGGAAGAAGTATGGTGCGCTGCCAAATCCCTCGAGCAGCGAGGATGAAGACGATGATGATGACGACGACGACGATCCTGACACAGAAGAAGGGAGCGACACAGAGCAAGAGTTGTGATTGGGTTCACATGATTGGTTAATTGGAACGTAACCCGAGCACATATATATGCTATAATCACCCACGCGACACGAGGATTACGACAAGGGGAGGCTGAACAGAACGCTTTTTGCTTGCAAGATTTAGGGATGGCAGGATGCGATGGGACTTTTGGATGGGAAACTTTGTCTTTTGATCAGGTGCTGGGTTTGCTCTCTATACCAGACGCTTCGGTGCGAGGTGCTCACGATGTGTTTGCGGTTGGGTCGGGTTGGGGTTGGAAAAGACATTGGGTTCGAAGATGGCAAGGCAAGGCAGTACATGGCGTTGGGCTATGGGGAAATCAAGGAAATATTGATAACTGGCTGCTTTGTCTGCCAGGAGGCTCACGTACTATACTTTGTTGCGCTCACTGTAAATTGGGAGGATGGGTCCTTTTCTTCCCAGGGGTTATGGATGGCATCGAGGAGTCTACGCAAGCACGTATGCATTGTTTATACGATATGATAGGGCGTTACAAAATCAGACGATGTAGTATCAAAAGGCACGGCCTTACACTGACTGAACATTGAACTGTGATGGAAACAGACAGCTTGTTTTGTCTTGTCTTGACGATCTAACTAACTGACACGCCTCAAAATTCGGATTCGGGGTGACATTCGAGGCCCAATCCACCAACCACCTGTATAACCTCTGACTAGATTCCTGAGAGCAGCGACATGTGCGCCCAGCCCAAGTATGTTCTCACCACCGAGTGTTCCCTCTTCGCTCTCATCTGCTGCAGCCGGAGAGCCAGGCTTGAGAATCTCAATACCGTCGTAACCCGCGACAACTCCTATAACCTGCCAGCCACCCAACACCTTGCGTGGGTTCTCTGCGAGAGCATAGTCGAATCGCTCCCAGAAACGCGGCCAGTAAAGTTGGTCTCCCTTTTCCGTCTTGTCGAAGACTAGAATAGGAGCCGTAGAATCAGGGTCGGGAGTGATGGGGAAAGCGATGGGATGACCAGATGGGTTTTGCCCAAACAAGGTCAACCCAGTCATGCAAGTCAAGACGTCGGCGTGGACGTCGATGACGGGAGTAGGGTCGTCACGGGCGATGTAAGAGAGCTGTTGAAGAGCATCACCACCAGGATAGTTAAGTGAAGAGAATAGGAGCATGGCAGTGCTGCCTACGAAGCTGACGAGGACTGATAAGGCAACAAGGGCAGACACGCCACGGTAGATAATGGATTTAGAGGCGCGAGAGGAGACAAAATTGGCGCCCAGAGCTGCAGCAGCAGTTAGAGACGGCACGACATAGAAAATGAAACGAGCCTCTTTATGAGGCTGAGCAGAATAGATGGCCACAAAGAGCAAGTTGGGGATCAGCAAAGTCTGCGTAGCCCGTGATGTGCCAGGCTGGAGTAGTGCATATACAGCCAACGCTGGCACAAAAGGATTAAGCAATAGCTTGGGCAGCGCCGAAGTAAAGTAGTAATGCCACGGAGAAACGCCCCATTCTGACGAGGATCCAAGAATAGCGTTGAAATAGAAACCCCATAACTCAGGCCATAGGGGCTTCTGCCAGAAATACGAGTCAATAGGCACTGAAATAAGCAGTGAAGAGATGAATGAGCCGAGGAAAGTGAGGATCAAGGGGCGTAGACCGATGCGGCCTGTGAGAAGGAGGTAGAGTCCTGTAGTGCTGAGAAGAACAGCGACTTCAGAGCGGAAGATGGCTGCTGCGATGACCAAGAGAGCGATAGCTTGTTTCTGACGAGCAGCAGAGAGATGAGGCGACGATTGGGGAAGTAGGAATGCCGAAGCAATGGTAGCTAGTTATGGTGAGCTGATGCTTTCAGAGTTGATGGTGAATCATATGACTTACTGAGACAAAAGGCATACATGTTTGGCAATGTCCGGGAAATATAGTAGTTGATATGGAACTGACTTGCCATAAACATCACCCACCAAGCTGAAACACCTGCTCCATAAGCTCTTTTTAGAGAAGCCTTGAATGTCAAAAGCGCAGCAACATTAGCGGCACCAAGGATTCCTCGAACTACAAGCTGTGCATGCTGAAAGCCAACAAGAGCGACAATGGGCTGCCCCAACCCTGCGAGGAGCACAGCGCCGAGAAAAGTACGGGGTACGGCGCCGGGAAAGGTGAAGTGGTCGTAGGTATGAGAAAGGCGCTCATGTATGTCCTGAGTAGGCGTTCCGTAGATTAAGATATCGTGGGCTGCTTGAATGTTGAAAGATTCCTCTACTTTTGTATAAGGAGATACGAGGAGATGAACCAGTGGGACGGTGATGAGGAGACAAGTTAGGATTATATCTAGGAAGAGTTAGTATAATTTCATAATTGAAAGGGAAAATGTGATGTACCTGAAGCCTTCATCTTGGCTGATGTTGAGCTCTAAGTACGAGACCTGCTGTATCTAGATGCTTGGTTTTCAAGCAAAAGGCAGAAAGAGTTGAAAGATGAGAGAAGCCACCAGATCATAAGAATCTCTTCATATCAAATCAACCGCTATAAAAGAAATATAACTTACCTAAATTCGTTTGTTCAACATGATTGAATGAATTGTCCAGAGCTTATTACCTCTTTAGGGGTCCTCGGATCGGTCTAATAAATCACCCGCCACAGAACACTCGTCACCCCCTTCCCCTTCCCCTTCCCCACCTCAGCTCTTGCACCGTTCAAGCCACCATGGCAAAAGGTACGTACCCCGAAACCAGGTACCACCTCCAGTGCAAGTCCTTCAGATGGTTACACATCATCGCCAACTTTCAATCAAGAACCCCCCCCCCCTTCTCAATCCCTTTTTAATCTTCAGCGCCGTCGCCCAAAATGTGGTTCTTTGGCAGTTTTCTCTACGGTAACAATCTTCTTGCTCTCCTTATCCAGAGCGCAACAGCTAATATCAATTTCAGTTTGTATTCTACTCATCAACGCCGTCGCTGTCCTTTCAGAAGATCGTTTTCTCGCGCGCAGTACGAAATTCTCCCTGCTCGACTCTATCCCCGCGAATTTCATATCTGACCTGATCTCTCAGTCAATCTCTCTCCCGCTTCTTACGACCCTGCGTTCGGCGCTGGCCCTGATGCCAGCGTCAAAGCCAAGATCATCAATCTCATCGCGAGTGTCCGAACCATCATGAGGAGTACGTTCAACGTCCAAACACACGCCGCGCAATCATAACGAGCTACTACTGCGCTTTCTACAATAAGAGGGGCTAACGTAGCAATAGTGCCACTGATCTTTGTCAATTCCGTTATTATCCTCTATGAGCTCATACTTGGTTGATTAGGGGTGCCACATGCAAGGCGCAGCTGTAAAAAGAGGACACGGTAGACTTTTCTAGGCATCAATGGAGTCCGGCTAATCTTGGAACTGGAGTTTTTGTTGTTGATATGAATTACGGGAGGCCATACGAGGGAGCACTACTCCTTGATATGAATACGATATGGAACGAGACAGGATGAGATGCGGTACCCTCTTCATGATATAGTATCGAAGGTAATATTATTGCATATGTAATGTTGGAACATTCACATAATGCTTGAGACGTTGTCTGCTCAATTCGCTCATAGGCGTCTTGTCTTGTTCAAAGTATACCCAAATAGCTAAATGCACAAAGGCCTGTCTGAGCCTACGAGGGCTTCCAACCAGGACCTCCAAACACCTATGTATAGTACAGCTGCCACGCTATGGGTGGTCTCGTTCGGCGCTCGCTCAACATTCATCGATCAAGCAAGCTCATCCGACCAGTAATAACCAAGTTTGCCTTCTGCTCTTTGCCTCCGTGTTCCATCTTCTACTTGGTGCATTTCTGTAATTAGGCCTTCTTGCCTGGACATAATGCAAGCTATGGCAAATCTATTTCTCCCAGAGCTCAGAACAGGAAAAATACCCAGAGACCTGAATGCTGAATGCTTTTAAGGACCCCTCGTCGCCTTATTATGCTCTTGTTTCATGCAGTGACTGCTTCATTTACAGTGCATGGGTATCCTGCCATCCGCCAACACCCCCAGACCACAACGACGTAATGCATTCGGAATTCTTCCTCCCCCATATGTAAGCGTGATAGGTACGTGCATGTGTGCTGGGTTTACGAAAGCAAATTCGTGCTCTTTTTACGTCCCAGGCTGAAGCTGAGGCGATCCTTGAGCTTCTCGTGTTTATCGTTCGTATCACCACCGTTGGAGATCTCAGGGGTTTGCCCAGCCGACTTGTCTTTGTGAAAAAGCGAGAAACTTCTTCTTGACATCGACTTACTGCCACGTTTGGTTCGGTCGAGAATTCCATTGCTCTGAGGTGATCCGTTTTCTTTCTTTCTTGCATCCTCTTCTTGTGCCGCAGACTTCTTGCTGGCTTCCAACACTTTGGCTAATTCATCGTTTTCATTTCGTCGTGCCTGTATCGCCTTGTAATGATCCTCTCTTCGTTTCTTTTCGTCAACCTTGGCCTGTTTCTCTCGCTCCTTTTCCGCGAGTTTCTCGGCCTTCTCAGCAGCTTCGCGCTCCTTCTTCTCTCGTTTCTTGTCCTCTTTCGATTTGGCTTCTTCCTTCTGCGTAGTGATGCGAGTCAAGCCATTTGTCGCAGCTGCAGCTGCTACTGGGGGCGTAGGATCCGGCTGGGGAGCCGAAGGCATGGCTGGTGCCGTACTGGCATGGGCAAGATTTGCCATTGACTCGTGATGCGTCAGGGGTGACATGGGCTGCGTTGCTTGCCGCCTCAGAGGCGCAGTGTCTGATTTATCTCCATTCTCCTGAGCCAGGTTCGCTGCTTCGCTGGCGAGTTTCACCTCCTCCATGCCTTCCTTCTCTTGCTCCTCTCGCACTTTCTCGAATGTCGTTTCCTGGTAAAACAAAACGTACGCGGTAGCCATTCCAGGCTTATCACCGAAAAAGTTGCGGACGAAATTCTTGTCCACCGGTTCAACCATCTCGTCGTCAAACAGGATCCATCCCCTGCCCGGAACCTTGATGATAGACACGTAGTGACCATGGTAGGCATTACCACCAATGTGTACCACTACTGCATACAGCTCATACAGTCGATCCGGGTCCTCAGCATTGTCTGTCGTATTGAACATGCGCAGGTGGTAGGGATACACGACCCTGTGAAAGAGCTTTTGCAAACGACTGTAATCCTCGGTATACTTGAACCGCTTTAAGTGGAGCGTCAAAATCTTGGGTAACCGCTTCACCTTCATCCGCTTCTCAGCCTCCTGGAGGCCACCGCAGTGGTCGCAGTGGAACTTGTTTCTCTCGCAGAGCATCTCCTCGGCCGAAAACTTCCTTAAGCAAGATGTCACTGATGAATGCTCTTCTAAGTCAATGGACAAATCAAGAAATGTCTCATCGCGCTGAGAAGCTGTCTCGCAAGTCAAGCACTTGGTCTCTGATGTGAGAACGCCTTCAAAAATGTCATGGACCCATCCTGTTGCCGGGGAACTTGACCCAGCTGCATGATTTACCATGGCAGATCCAAGAGCGTGTCCCACTGAAGTTGCCAGCCCATCAATACCGTCAGCCGGCGCTTGCAACTGCATCTGGCGGGCTGTGCTCTCAACGCTGTTGATGACATCATTCAACACCAAACCGTAGAACTCATGAGCGTCTTGGTGCATTGAGTTTCGAAACATTTCATTGTCGCGCTTGAATATCTCGAGAAATCGTTGGGGACTGAGGACTCCTGTATGGGTGTTGCTTTCCAGTAATGCCAGAAAAATATCCTTCAGTCCAGTAAATGTGCATTCATTCATGCCATAAGAAGTGGCGTTCTCTCGCGCTAATTCTAGGATAGGTCCTTTAATCATAGCTTGTTTCTTCTTGTATTCTGGTGTATCAGGTTTGTCTTCGGGTCTAACGCCAACCTGTCCAGGTAACTGTTGATTCATGGCCTGTCGTTGCTTGATCACTTGGGATGTGCTAAGGCCCTTCTGCTTTGGCAAGTTCTCGACAGGGTCAGTGGGTGGAGGTCTGATGGTGATGGGAACCTTTGGTCGGCTGCCATTTGTCTCTGAGGGCGTAATCGGGGGATAGTTGACAACATTGTTCCTGAAGGATTCGGAATAAAACAGAGCCTGAACGATCGAGTTGCAGTAGCTACACGAAAAGTCAGCATAGTAATTTGGTTGTGTGATGCCTCACGCGCTTCGTACCATGTGTTCCCAAACTGTTTTCATGTTAGCCTAGTTCTTGCGATGATAACGTATTGACGATGATGAGAAGAAATAAAAATTAGGGCGGGAGTAGGCAGGGCTCGACGTACATTCTCGAGGCCGAAGAAGCGATCGGCGCCGTCGTCTCGAAGGGGAGCGGCATTCTGGAGCATCTTCTCGAGCGGCGTGAGGTCGAGCACAGGCTCTTCTTTCTTCTTCGCGACAACATCTTGCTTGTTGGGTGTGGTGGTCGTGGCCTATAAACCGAAAGCGAGAGGGATTTTGTCAGTCATGAGAAGTAATCTTGGCGCAACTTAGAGTGAGCGAGAGGAGATGGAACTGGGGCAGTCCAGGGCAGAAATGGAACATAGGAGCGAGTCCAAGACGTACAGTGCCAGAACCCTTTATTTTGTTGAAAAAGCCGGCCATGGCGATGTCGTGATCTCTCCAGTTGGAGCAAGCAATTCAGTAGGAAAGCCGTGGATGGGTGAGCCGATCGAGGGACGTTATCAAAAGGCCGACCCGCACGCAACAGCTGCGCAGCAGCAGCACTCAGCGAAGACGATCACAATTGAGACAAGTGACCATTCGCGAATGGCTTCGTATCTTCTGGGAGTGACCAAAGAGTCGCGCAAGACGGGAAAAGTTGAGGAAGCGCAAGCCAAGTCGGTTTTAGAGTTATCGAGTTGTGAGCGAGGAATGAATTATGGCGCTGATAATGGCTGGCGCCCTGGGGAAAGCGAGGCGCGGGTGTGTGGCGTGGATGCGATAGCGCCGGAGGGATCTTCTTGGGGTGATCTAAAAGCCGAACCGGAGACAAGAGGCAATCGATGGTCTTGGCTGGAGATAATCTGATATAGTTACCAGGCGGATTCCAAGGCACCTTGAGATGGATGTAAAAGAGAGGTGTCAAGTTGCTGGAACGGCAAAAAGAGAAAAGACAGGCGAGACAGCTACCAACTGCAGAAAGACTGACTACCTTGGTTGAACTGCAGGCGCAGTCGAGGCAGGTAGGGATGAAGGTGGCGGGAGGATGCCCTAGTACAGTAGAGGTCGAGTCCGGGGGAAGTAATAGTGGAGGAGGAGTGACCTGGACCCAGGTCAGGTTCAAGAAGGAGAAGGATGGATCAGTGGCCTCGTGGTTGGATGGTGCCGTGCCCCAACATGGTAGGTGCTGTAAGCCTGCAAAGTCCTGCGTTGTGGATATTTTGGCTATGTGTCTTTCTGGGAATTTCACTTGCAACGGCCCTGGATCATGGATAACATGAGCTGTACGTAACGATCTTTACGGTACGTCTGGGCATAAAAAGTCATGATGAGAGTTTCCAGAGCCTAAACAAGCCGATTATGGGTACGTACAGAACCCGTTGGCAAAGCCCATCCGGATATTTCCTCTTTGGCGCACGATTATTCGACAATGATGCCGATAATGGTTGGATAGAGTGATCGATACCTCCAGCAACATTTCTACAGCCGGAAGTGCTGCCGTCTCGACTCTCCTCTCCTGCATCGAGCTACGAAAAGGGCTCCAGCTCGCGCAAACCCCAGTTTGCCTAGACCACCAGTGCCCCCAAATGGCCCCCCTCCAAGTCACTAGGCTGTCATGATGGTGCCTCTCGAGTGGGTCCCCCAGAAACTACCATCCCAGAATCAGAACTAGAAACAGAGCGCGTTAACTCGATTCCTATGTCCCTGTTAAATCATGAGGTAGAGATAGACACCGCTCTCGGGTTTTCGGGAGCTGCTTGTCCGAAGAGCTGGTAGCTTACCTCTGCCAAGAGTCTTTGATCACATAAGATAACCTCCACATCTTTGCTCTCCATAGTTGCCAAACGACATCATCGTTGAGGAGGGTCCTGCTTGGGTTTACTGGGGTCCAAGGGCCTGGCTGAAGATTAAACGTGGTGTGGACGGTTGATAGACGCCAGACAGAGTGGCCCCATGTCTGGGATCCATTGGCTGTTACAGTAGAGCCAAACGCTACCAGGGCTAAAATGTAATGACATGGATATGGAGTTTGAACAAGCATCGG